GCCGACCCCAACGTTCGCGGCGCGACGAGATCGATACATCGATGGGACGTCGCTGCCGGGAGATTGATTGCGGCGCGTTTTGCGCCAGGCCGCGCGAACGCACGTCTATATTGTTTACGCGTCGGCTTGAACGACCAGCGCGGCTGCAGCGTTAACGTTTTTCACTCGCGCGAGCCTCTAATTCGACGTTAAGGCATTATTCCGGCAAATTGCCGTTTCTCCTCCGAGTCCTCCCCGGTCGTTTCGTATTTAACATTTTTCACCGCTGGCTACCGCGGCTGCAACTACCGCGGGGTATCTCTCCCCTCCGTTCTCTCTCTCTCTCTCTCTCTCTCTCTCTCTCTCTCTCTCTCTCTCTCTCTGCGTTCCTTTGGCAAAAACCGCAGAGAATGATATTCCGCTCCCCCGCGAACGGTTCGCTGGCCCCCCTGTTCTTCTTCTTCCCCTCGTTTCTTCTCGACTCGCGATGTATGCCGCGCCATTATATTTATGTGGATGTGTGTGTGTGCGTGTGTATATATGCGGTGAAAGGGAGAAGGTACGCACAACGGAGGCGAGAAAGGTCGTTTTGAATCCCTTTCCGTTCTTCTTCCCTCCGCGAATCGCGCGACACCCACGTTGTTTTTGCCCGTCGCCTGATAACACCGAGGCTACGACCTGCGATGTCAAAGGCAAACACGACACACACACACACACACACACACACATAGACACAGCTCGGACGAATGGTCGTCCAAAAATCCCGCGCCCGATCTCATCTTTTCCGATCGGAGGTTACTCTTTAATCGCCGCGATGTGTACGTATCCTCTCAGTTTTCGCTCTCCCGCAGCGAAGGTGGAGAACGCGGAACGTCAAAGGCAACATCCATAAGTAACCTAAAAAGTTCCGCGCGGGGAAAGTTCGTCTGATTAATATCGCGACGCGCGAGAGATGATAAGTAAGGCCGTCGAATATCCGGGAAAATATGCGAGGGTCTCACCGCGCGTCGCGCTCCACAAACGTTCTTTGTCCGACGCAGACTCTCGCGATACTTTCCACGATTACGTGGCGCTAACGCAAGTAGCGCTCCGGGCTTTGTCGAATTTCTTCGCGTGTAAGGAGCTTAACTCGAACGCGGACGTGTCCAGGTTTTTCCGAGACTCCTCTCCCCCCTCTCCTCTCTCTCTCTCTCTCTCTCTCTCTCTCTCTCTCTCTTTCTTTCTCACTCTCTGTCGTCCTCTCTCGCTCCGCTCGCGTTCTCGCCTACCGGCTGTACTCCCGCGGGTCATTCATGCCACAACAAAGCACATTGTGTCGCAACGATCTTTAGCGGTATTCGCCGACGTCGCGGGCTTTGCGGCATGAATCGCATTCATGGCCGACGCTCGTGTGTATTCCGAGCGCGTGAAGGGTAACGAATCGCAAACGCGATCAATGCACGCGCGTTACGCGTATATGATAATTCCGCGGAAAGCAATTCCCTGCAATTTAAGTAAACAAAGCAATCCCGCAAAAAGGGCGCCATCTCTCCCGGCCGTCGTTGGTCGCGCGCGCGCGCGCGCGATGGGATCTGCATTTTTATGTTGATTAATTTTCATTTCTATTTATCCGTTTGTTTATTCCGATTTCATTTGACGTTCATTTTGTTTATTCGGTTTCACGGGTCCGATTGAAATTTCCGAGATTGCCAATTAGAATCGATTTCACTCCCTTTCCTCCTCCGCCTTTCGTCCTCTACGCGCCGGAACGCCGGTTAAATTCGAATTTACAACGGCCGCGAAGATGGAGAGAGAAAGAGGAGAGAAGCGAGGCGCCTCGTAACGCACGACGGAACGGCCGCGAGGCGGAATTCTCGCTCGCTCAAACCTCGCCGGAACACGCTACGAATTTCGAACACACATTCGCCACTGTGTGTGTGTGTGTGTGTGTGTCGGTTAAGTGGATCAAAAGCGCGATTGAACGGCTCGAGCCGCGGCGCTACGCGACGCGACGCTCGCGCGAATTGTTTTCATCCATTCACGTCGCGAGTCCGCGCCGGCTCATAAATACCGGCCGCGCGTGTGACGGCCCATGTTTTCGCGTGCGGATGTACCGTAACGTCGATATTTGCCCGTATTCGCTCGCGATCCAGCCACGGCTGGTTTACCCGCTCTCTCGCGCCGGTCGTCGAAGGGGGCAGATCGTGTGCCGCAACACACCACCGCCTCGGGGGTCGCTGTGTGTATTTGCGCCCGCGCGCAGGGCAGGGCGCGGAGTTACCCCGCAAAGTCGTGAAATCCACTTTCTTCCCCTGACAGGCTTCCCCCCGCCCCCTACCTCCTCGGTTCCACCTATACGCGAGAGAGAGAGAGAGAGAGAGAGAGAGAGAGAGAGAGAGAGAGAGAGGCATCCTGGCGTTGACGGATTTAGGGTGTCTCGCGAGGCGTAAAAAGGGGCCGGAAGGGGCCTCGCCTCGAGGCGAAGTGGATATAAATATTCGCGCCGAGTTATCGCGATTTTCCGCCTCCGGCGGGACTTTTACATCGCCTCCTGTGTGTGTGTGTGTGTGTGTGTGTGTGATTCCCCGTTAATTTTTATTCGCCATTAATTCGCCGACCCCGCTCGTAAAGTCCGTCGGCTCGCGCCGCCGATGAGCGGCGGCTGCTTCTATGAGATCCCAACCGCGAGAGCCGTTTAGTGTAGCCTTTCGAGCGCGCTCAGTTTCGCCCAACACACGCACATAGAGAGACGAGAAACAGAGAGAGAGAGAGAGAGAGAGAGAGAGAGAGAGAGAGAGAGAGAGAGAGAGAGAGAGAGAGAGAAAGAGAGAGAGAGAGAGTGGGTTTATCGATTTCCTCTCGTGGCGGCTGGAGCATTTTCATCGCCGCGGCGGTATCATCTTTCGCAATATGGCGGTTGCGTTACCGGCGCGCTATAATTACTGCGTTTTACGACGCTTTCGCCGATAGACACCGCCCCGCGCGCGCTTTACGAGTCGTACGTGTAGTATAGTACGCGCACGCGGGGTGTACGCTGGCACACGTGGAGCACCACTCGGCGGCGGCTCTGGCGAGGGGGTGGCGGGGGTAGTTGGCTGGCTGGCTGGCTGGCTGGCTCGCTGGAGGCGGAGAGAGCCGGTCGAGGTTGAGCGAGGTCAGGGCGGATGAGAAGTCCCTGACCTGGTCACCTACGCGTCTCTCTCTCTCTCTCTCTCTCTCTCGCATCTTGTCGCTCGCTCGCTTTCACGTTTAGGTTACCGCAGACTTTGCCGGAGGAGCGGACCTCCGGGGCTTAATTAGCGCGACACGTCGATGTCTCTTGTCGCGTCTTGGGAGCGCAAGATTTACCCCGGCGATTCGGGGGGGGAAAGGTCAATGTTTCGAAAGATAACGGTATCGATCGTCGCGAGACAGACAGACAGAGAAAGAGAGATGGAGGAGAGGGGAGGGAGGCGCATTCGCGGCCGACACGGAGGTGCGCGTCTCTGTGCGAAAGAGTCGCGCTGCAAAAATGCAAGAAGATTTTTCGCGAGCGATTCTATTAGCCAAACTACAGAGGAGACGCGAGAGCGCACGTTTCTCGTCCTGTTCCGTTGGTCGTACTTGCAGCTCTCAATTTTTTAACGACAAGAAGACCGACCCCCGCCCCGTCTTGGTCGGACGGGGGCGTCGGGGGGGGGCTCCTCCAATGCTGCAGCCGGTGCTTTATCACGAGTCTCTCGTTATTTTGTCCGTGACGCAAACGAGAGGCATTACGGTGCGCATTATTTAACGGAGCCGTGGAGAACGGCGGCGACAGCGGCGCGGCGATCTCCTCGCCGCGGAGCGGCTCTCTAATCAGCGCTAACAATCGCTCTCGACGATCCCATTGTCCCCCTGTTCGCTGCCGGGTGCCATTACTCGCGTTTCTAAGCACGCGCGGCAATCCGACGCGTCGTCGTCGTCGTCGTCGTCGTCGTCGAGCTGCAGCAGTCGGCGCGATTTTCGAAATTCCGGGGCGCCGTTCATTAGAGGACGATCGGCGCGAAAAAGTCTTTCGGCGCTAACAAGCGCGCGTGATTTATAGCGGCGCTCATTAATCACGTTAAGTTCCCCTCGCTGGCGGTCGACCTCCTTATTAAACCGCGATTCGATCTCATTGTCCTTAACGGACAAAGGCGAAACGCTGGCGCGCAGTCGAGGCGCGCGAGGCGGCCGAACGAACAGGGCCTTGTATTATTGCGCGTACAACAAGGTGATTCATTTGAGCGCGCGCGGCGCTACACGCTAAATTTCCACTCCGAACACTGTCGTAAACCCCGGCGGTCGCCCTCGTCGGCGCATTAATTTTTGCTAATTGCCCGTGCAATCAGCGCGCGACTGCGGGTAACAACGCGCGCATATATAAGCGCGCGCGATCGGTGAAGCTCGACGAGCACGCGATCGTATCGGCGAGCACGCTTTCTCGATCGCCCTGTCGAGTCTCTGCTGATCTCTGTTCGATAAATGACGGTAGCAAGGTCTCTCTCTCTCTCTCTTTGTGTGTGTGTGTGCGTATGTCCGTCTCTCTCGGGGCGCTACCGCGACATGATTGATTCGTTATGTACGCCGCTACCCTTACATTATCCGTCGCGCCGGCTCGACATCGTGTTCCACTTAGCCGCGGGGCCATTTAAGGTGTCTCATCAGCGCGGTTTCCCGGCGACGGGCAGAGCGAGTCTGCCCGGCGGAAAGTTCAAGCGGCAATTAGCGCTCCCGCGCGAGACTCGATCGCGTCGAGTCAGCTTCTCTTTCGACGAAAAACCTGCTAATTGGTGGGCCGATTCGCGTCGGGGAAAAGCGCGACATAGCTGGTCTGTTCGCGTGGTAACTCTTCGCGTTAACCTTCTTTCTCCGCAACTGCGAGTCATATTGAGACAAACGTTTGAATGCGTGTGCGTGTGCGCGCCGAATATGCGGGCGCTAGTCCTAGTATCTATCTAGTAGACATCTGGATCGCGACAACGCGTTCCCTCCCACGAGCATCGTCGTCTCTCACCTCGATCCTTGTGTTTGCCTTGCAGGTGAACTCTGATAACCATGATCGCACCACGCACGAGATCCAGCTGAAGCTGGGCAACTTCTCGCTGGTGAGGCACCTGCTGGACGACCCGAAGCGCCTCATCGGTATCGATGGCATCCCGCCGAGCCCGGCGCCCGTCACCCCGTCCTCTCCCAGTCCTTCCGCCTACAAGAGCGCCTCCACGTCCAGGAGTTCGCCGGCTCCGCAGGAGTTCAAGAAACCCAGTGGACTCAGAGCGAGCACCTCGTCTTCCACCTCCGGCGCCGGGCTTCCCGGCGCCAGCAGCACCGCCAGCGGCGCCAGCACCTCCGGCCACCAGCGAGGCAGCGGTGGTTTCGTCAAGCCCGCCGACGGTAAGCCGCCCCACGTCTCCAGGAGCTTGTACAACACCGGTCACGCGGTCAAGCACGTCGGCAGCGGCGGTGGCGGTAACGATCATCGCAGCCACGGCTTGCCTCCAGCCAAGGGTCCACCACCGCACAGCTCGTCGGTGATCGCCGCCAGCCGCATTCACACGTACGGCGAACGACTGCCCAGGTTACCTCTCGATAACGTGAGTATCGATCTTCGCAGACTCCTCCGTTACGCCTCGGTTTCGCGCGCGCGCGCGGGGTCGTCCCGGACGACGAGGACGATTTGCATGCGCCGCGACCGGCGGCCCGTTCCCGAAAGTGGACGGTAATGGCTTCTCGGAGCTAACGGCTTGATCGCGCGTCGTTCCACGGGGGTTGTTTGCGCGCGGGGTTTCCCCGGAAGCCGCGTGTTTCCTGCGTCAAGGAGGGGGTGAGGCTGACGAAGAAGGACGACGGTATCGATAGAGGGGCGGTATTGGCGGTTAGCGTCGAGGAGGCTGCACGTGATTTCTCGCGGTAAGCCGCACGTGCGACGTGATGTGAGAGAGCGAGCGGCTGAGAGGATCTAATTCGGGCCGTCGAAGGCGTTCGCACGCGACACCGCAGGGAAAGCAAGTTCCCCGCGCAAGTTCCCCGCGCTGCGCGACTAAAGTTGCACTTTTTCCTTGTTTTTCTTCTTCGGTCGCAACGATATCTCGCACGAGAGAGAGAGAGAGAGAGAGAGAGAGAGGTGTAAACCGGTAGTTTGTTTGCGGGGGAAGGGGCGCCGATGTTCCGGGCTGTGTCGAGAGTTGTGCCGCGGAAATCGGTTCCTTCTCGAGTAATGCACCGTCGAGGGCCGCCTCGGTGAAAGGCGCGCGCGGTGTTGCTTGAACCACACGCGAGCGACGACGCCCAGACTCGTCAAGTTTGAAACTACTTTAACGGCACGTCTCTCGCCGGAGTCGCGATTATTTGTCGCGTAAGAAGATTAAGAGAGGCAAGTTTTCGTCGGCGCTATTGTCGCGCCTGCACTGAACGCGACGAGACGCCGCCGCCGCCGCCGCCGCCAACCTTCCGCCTGTTCCTCCTCTCCGCGTCGTCCTTCTTCGCGTGCAAGCTGCATCGTCGACATTGGAAGCCCCATTGGAGCCGGCCGGCTAACCGAACGTGTCTCGTTCGCGCGCCATCGCGAAGTCGCGATCTCTCGTGCTCGAGAGTGAATAAACGCGAATGACTCGCCCGAGCAGTTTATTTCGCGCGTCCCGGCGATCCTTCATCCTGGCAGAATCCTGTGAAAAATCGACGTTACTCTCGTATTATTGCTCGGTTACCGCATCGGGATGCCGCGATCATCAGTCACTCCTCGATATCTCGAGCGCGCGCGCGCGCGGCCGTTTACTTCCGCGTCCGAGCGGGCGAATCCTTCCACGCCGTTCCTTCCTGCCGCAAATCGCGGGGGAAGGATCAAGCAGCCCCGTGGCATTAATCTCTCGCCGTAGGAGCTGTAATAAAGAGGTTATTATTATCTCCCTCCTTTCTCTCGCTCTCACTCACCCACTCGTCTTCCTTTTTCCTCTCCTTCCATCCTTCTTTCCTTGCTTCCTTCCTTCCTTCCTTCCTTCCTCCCTTCCTTCCTTCCTTCCTTCCTTCCTCCCTTCCTTCCTTCCTTCCTTCCTTCCTTCCTTCCTTCCTTCCTTCCTTCCTTCCTTCCTTCCTTCCTTCCTTCCTTCCTTCCTTCCTTCCTTCCTTCCTTCCTTCCTTCCTTCCTTCCTTCCTTCCTTCCTTCCTTCCTTCCTTCCTTCCTTCCTTCCTTCCTTCCTTCCTCGTCAACTCTGAACTTCCACTCGGGATCATCCGGCGGATATCAAACGAAACCAGTTGGCTCGACAGGCTCGTTGACAGAGAACGAATTGCTTTTCAATGGAAATCTAGCTGCGGGCGAGGAGTGGGAGAGGCCCAGGTCGTGGGATGAGATGAGGAGGAGGGAGGAGGAGAGGGAAGTTTCGAGACGGGCGCTATTACGCGATAGGGGCCTCCTCGAGGTGCAAATTTCATTGAGATTGACTATCGATCGTGTCTTCTGCTTCGCCTTCCCCCCCCTCTACCGCTCCTTTGCGCCGGTCACACGTTGCCCATCGGGGAGACGATCAGAGGTCTATCGCTCTTCCTTCCTCCCTCTCTCTCTCTCTCTCTCTCTCCCCCTCCCTCTTCGGGTGTACTTGTACAATTAGAGCCGGTCGGGCTCTGAGTGCGTCTCGTCCTTCCTCCTCTTTTTCGCATTCTCCCGGAAAATTGATTCGCGTTTGTCCTTTCGCCGTTCTCTCTCTTTCTCTCTCACATGCCTTACCTCCTCTTTCTCTTTCCTCGACAATGGCTGGCGAATCGTTCGTCCCGCCGAGTCATTCGTCCTCATTATCTGGAAATTAATTTGGAATTACGCGCGCAAAGGGGAGGAGGGCGCGGGGTAAGCTTGCAAACTGGCGCGCTAAATATCGCCGGACGTTACGCTATTAATGGCTGATATATATATGTCTCGAATTCTCCTCGTGTCACCTCTCCTCCACTTTCTCGGGCTTGCCCTTCGTCGTCCCTTTTCACCTCATCTCGTCCCATGTCTTCCGTCTTATCTCTCGCCTCTCGCTTCTTCCATCTTCGACTTTTCACCCTCGCGGTTTTATGTCGCGTCGTTACACGTTAAGGAAAAGAGAGAACGAATAATTGCTTTGCGCTTGTCGTGTTTCAGAATCGAAAACGTTTCGGGCGGTGGAAGCTTTCGAAGGCGAAACTGTGTTACGCACTCGACGAATTAATCCGTCAGCCGAATCCGTAAGCGAGATTTATCAATCGACTGAGAGGGCAATTCAAACATAACGCGCTCGTATATTCCCCATTTATCGCCTCTCGCTGCCGCTCGCAGGTGTCATAATACAAAGTATACCCCCCTCTTCCAGCGCGCGCGCGCGCGTCTCCCTCTCTGCTGCTCTTTTCCTCTTTCTCCCTCACCCTCTCTGCCGGCCTCTCTCTTTTTCTTTCTCTTTCTATCTTTCTCTCTGTCTGTCCTCCTTTCCTCCCAGTTTTCCCATTTTCCGTTCTCTCTCTCTCTCTCTCTCCCCCCCCCCCCTCTCTCTCTCTCTCTCTCTCTCTCCGTGATTATCCAGTCCCGTCTACCTCCGTTTTTCGCTCCCTCCCTCCTTTCGTTCCTCGACGCGCCGTGTCCTCCGGCTAAAAGTTACTAGACACCCTCAACCCTTTTCTCCCTCCCCGCGCTCCCCGTGCCTCATCCCGCGCGCCAGTGCCTCATCCGCCGCAGTTCAGCCATCCCACGCGTCCGCTATTGTTCTCGCGTTTTCTTTCTGGGAATGACTACTCGCCGTTATTCGTAATACCTCTCTCCCTCTAGGACGCGTCTCTTCGCTCGTCTCTCTCTCTCTCTCTCTCTCTCTCTCTCTCTCTCTCTCTGCTCTACTCCCTCATCCGCGCCCTTTTCAATGTCTCTCCCCCTACCCGCTGGCCCCGCGGCGGTGTTGATTAATGATCGCTCGAGGAGAGCGGTGATAAATCGCGAAGAAATGTCGCGACAAGGACGCTCGCGCGCGCGGATTCGTCTCCGCCCTGTAAATTAGTCCCGATCAGATGTGCGCGCGAGATGTTTCTTTTTCTTTTCTCTTTTTTCTTTCCTTCTCTTCCCACTCGCGCACCGGCGGCGGCGGCGGCGGCGGCGGCGTGCGCGCCGAAAGATTAAGTTCGATTTATCGAGAAGAGGGCGAATCCTGTTTAATGTAACGCCGCTTAGTAAGACCAGATTTGAGCAGCGCGCACCGCTCTTCCTCCCGCTCCCCTCTGACCTCCTCCATCGCTCCCCCCTCCGGTAATTGTATGCGCTGCGAAATTTGTATTCGTTGTCGGTGCGCTCGAAGCTTCCTTCGCGCGCGCGTCCGTGTCTCGTGTGCACTCGGCGATCGCGCGAGTTCCGCTATAACGTTTCTTTTCTTTCTTGTTCCAGGCGGCCAATGCGCGCTACGAGCCAGTGGAGAACTCGACGGACGTGGAGAATATAGTAAAGGTCAGTTCCTCCGCCGCGCTAAATATCGGCTCTTGCATGCGAATGATTGTTACACAGCGTGTGTGAGCCGAGGGAGGCCTCTCGGCCTCTCCGAGGCCGCAGCTGACGCGCAACGCGCGTCGTCGCGTATCGGGTGGGTGCGAACGTTCCGCTGAATCTCGCAATTATAAAACAGTCGAAAATGAACTTCAGTCTCATTCGCAACGGGGTTGTTTCCTCATCGTCTATTCTATCGCGTGTACGTCAGAATGTTTGTAGTGAGCGCCGCCGCCGCGCCGCGCCGCAAAACCGCATCGGCCACGAGCCATCTTGGGGAGGGAGCCATCGAAACTTTTGCACTCACCCAGTGGAACAAATCGCGTCTCTCGCCTCTCGTCATTAAAGCGATAACCGCGAGGAATGCTCGTCGAGACACCGGCGTCTCGCTGGGAGCGCGAGGGCCGGGGAGGGGGGAGCGGACACCTGAAGCCCTCTCCGGCATCGAAGGGCGATACAAACGACGGCGGCGGGATCGTACGCCGTTCGAGACGCATAAAAGATGGTCGTCGTCGTCGTCGTAGTCGGCCGAGCGACGGGTTATTCGACGAAGCGAAGGCAGCGTCGCGCGTTCCCTCCGCCGGCACGACGGGAGCTCATGCTCGATCAATAAGTCAATCTTCTCGCCGATACGAGGCTATCTCATATCGAATCGATTTACCATTCTTCGTTCACCTCCAGCGCGTCCGATCTGCGACGGCGATATTATGTCACGCCTGCGAGATAAGCAAGCGGCGGCCTCGATCTCCCCCCACCTTCACCCCCGTCTTGCCCGCCGTTAATCGAGCGACGACGCGCCGCGGCAGCGAGCGGACACGGTAGACCATCCCGACCGCCGAATTTGCGTCTCCCGGGAGGAAAATTCGGTTCACCCCGCCCCTTCCTCCAGCGGGCAAGGCTCGTTCGCTGTCGCCTCCTTTCTTGCCGGGCGCCATTCGAGGCGAAAGTACGCAGAAATGTACTTTTGCTTCCCCTTAATCCAGAGCGAGCGAGCGAACGAGGGAGAGGGAGGGAGAAAGAGAACGAGGCGCGTCTGCTTTCTCTTCTCTCTCTTCTTCTCAGTCGCCAAGTTTTCTCATCCTCCGCCCTCCTATCCCTTCTCCCTCTGTCGGTCTCCTTTGCGCTGGAAACTGCGACATTTTGCGGTTTACCGGAAGAGAGGGAGACAGAGAGAGAGAGAGAGACGCAGATTTTCTGTAGCTTCGTTATTCGTTAACATTGATATAGTTAAACGTTCTGCTCGTCGTCGTCGTCGTCGTCGACCGCTTAATTATTACTCGGCCGAGTAGCGTGGAAATTTCGAGCGAGCGAAAAATATCGATAAACATTTGAGCGACTCCTGCTGTGAATCTTTCATGTCTCGCTTGTCGGTCTCGAAGTCGCTTGCCGAAGTCATCTCCCGTATGCGCGCTTCAGCCAGCTTGTTAATGGAAAATTTATCGAAGCATATGCGGGCATTCCCAAGCAGCGTCGTTGCTGCACGCTTCCGCGAATAAGTCGCTCGCGACAGTCGTCGGCAGACGCCGCCCTCTTCATAATCTATCATATATCACGATTATATTTATCACTCGTTTATGCATCGTCCGTGTCTATATATAGCGTACGGTCAGTTTTCGTTTCGTACAGTAGTCGCATAATTGGCGCATCGACCGGCGGAAAATCCGGCGGATCGACAGCTTCTCTCCTGCACGCGGCGCGAGTCTCGCGATCGACGCGGGATGTCTCGGAAAGGCGGAGAGAGTTGGCGCTCCGTAACACGCGGCACATGTTAATACACTATACGAGAGTGGGTAATTTTTCAAGCGTGTTCAAGCAGGAGATGACGCGTCGAATTTTCCCCACCACGGGGCCGCTGGCACCCTTTTCTCGCTCATCGGACGAAATGCCGACGGGCCGTCATTCGCGCTCTCGGACGTGACAGCGATTATCGCCAATCGCGCGTCACGCGAGATTGTAAATATTTTCCTAAACGCCGGCGGCGAAAACTGCAACCGCGGAAAGCGGCAACGGCCTGTTTACACGCGCGCGTGCTGGAAAACGGAATTATACGGTGGTGAAGAAACGGCGCGCGAGATCCCCGTCGGAGCGCCCCCTCGCCCGCCCCCCTTCCTCTCCTCGCCGGTCTGCGCACAATCTGACAATGGGAATGCGCGCACCTGCCTCTGCCGCCGTGGAAAGCGCGTTTTGTGCGCGATACCATCGCGGCGAAACGCGCGAACTTTGAATTGTTTCCTCGAAGGAACAGGTGGAAGGAAGAGAAGGAGAAAGAGATGAAAGTGAGAGAAGACTCGCCCTGTGTGTGTGTGTGTGGTGTGGACCGCGTCGTGCGAACCTCCCGGGAAATTGATGCCGATAAATCGCGGGTAAATCTGCCGGGCGCGCGATATTTACCTCGCTTAATTTCGCGCAGGAGCGAAATTGATTATCAATTTGAAATTATCATCGTGGGACATTTGATTTCGTTGAATTACGGCGTCGTTGCCTCTCTCTCTCTCACCCTCACTCGCTCTTGTTTATCTATCCATCCACCTCCTCCCCGAATCGTGTTTAAATTTAGTAGCGCGATCTAAAAATTGTGCGGCTAACAGTTAAGCGACAGAGAGGCGGAGGGGTGAGTGGGGGGAGGTGCTTTCCCGCCGCGGGGATGCAAAAGCGAGCACGATGGACGACACGGCGATCGCGGAATATTGCGCGGATTATGAAATTATAGATTATACATACAAATCGACTGATACGCCCGGCCGGTATCACACATCGGCGAGTGCAGCCGGCGACTAAATTATCCGGGATAAGTAATTATGGTCATAAATGTAATTCAGCGGCGGAAGGGTAAACGTTTCAGAACGACACGCGAATTTATGGCGCCATTCGCGCGGCGCACGTGCGGCGACACGGTCTACGTGAAATTTCCACGAGTGTGGAAATACAGGGAGGCAGAGAGAGAGAGAGAGAGAGAGAGAGAGAGAGAGAGAGAGACAGCAGCGCGACAGCCAGCGAGAGAGGGAGAAAGAAGGAGAGGAGAGGAGAGGCCTTGTGCGCTCTCGCGGCGTGTCCGACGTCGCCGCAATGATTCACACCGGCCGGCCGTCCGTGTTGTTTTTCCGACGTGACGCGTACTATCCTCCGCTGACGTCCGGTCGAAAATAGTCACTCCCCGCGGCGGGATTCCTGATCCTTTGATCGCTGACGGATCCACGAGACGCCGGATAATTCCCTCCCCCTGCCCCGGCCCGCTCCCGCCACCCCATCCCTCGCCGGGCAAGCCCGGGTTCGACGGTCGGGTTATATGGCGGGATTTTAGCAGTCTACCGCCGCGCCGCCGGTCGCTGGGATCAGCGAAACGAGTCGGGGGTCGGCCCGGAGAATCGTATGCTAATTTATGGATATGGTTTAATGGCGATTACCGGCTCCGATAACACCCACCGCCCGCAGTCGTAACGTTGTGACAGTATCAATTCCAGGGCGCTCAAATTGACGTCGTGTCGACGCTTCACTCATTCGCGCGATTGATACTTTTGTGCGCGCGCGCGCACGCGCGCGGTCTCTGTTGGGCTTTTTCGCGGAAGCGTAAAAAGCTCCCGGTGGAAATTGCGCGAATTATGTCGCGCGATTGGAAACCGAAGTTGACGAATCGTCGCGGATCGCTCGCGACCGACGTTTAAGACCTGTTAGTCTGATTAACGCCTCGATCGACCCGTTGCTTTCTCTCTTTCACTCTCTCTCTCTCTCTCTCTCTTGCATTAAGAGGAATTTCATTGAAGTTACATCAGTCAGAGACATCTCGCGTGAAAAATTCAAGAGTCGAGAGAACGATGGCAACGGTCCAGTGTAAACAGAGCGCGGGAGAAACAAAGCGCGAGGCGTCGACGAAAATAAAATATGGAAGCGGCTGTTCTGCGAAAGTTTCACTTTCCGAGGCGTAATCGCGGAATTATTTAACGACGATGCGACGAAAAGAGAGGAAGAAGCGCGACAGCGCTTTTCGGGGAGAGATTCGAACGAATCTCTCGTGCTCGACCCCTCCGCGCGATTCCTCCGCCAAAATCGCGGTAGCTGCGAGGTCAACGAGAGAGTCACGGCATGATGAATTTCGCAAATTTCAATGCTCCTCGCTCGAGGAGAGAGAGAGAGAGAGAGAGAGAGAGAGAGAGAGAGAGAGCACAACGCGACGCGCTCCTCCTCCTCCGTCGGTTCGACGACACGCGACTCGCGGCGAAAGAAGCCCAGGCGCCGGGCGAAAACGCGATATTATTAATTCCGCGAGCAGGAGCGCGGCCGTTAAAAAGAAGCCGCGCTACCGCTGTGCATCCCATTTGTTTAACGAGCCCGGCCTGGTCCGCGCGCGCGCGCGCGTCCCCGACGACGTCGGTGTAACTCGCCGCCCCCGGGGCTTTTCCACTTTCAGCACGAATTTATGACGATGCTGCCTACCGAGTAGCCGGTACAGTTCTGCCTCCCTCTGAAATCCCTCTCCCTCCGTGCCCCGGCCGTCCTCCTGCCCCGGCGGTTCCCCCTTGGTCCCTCCCGTCGTGCAGCCGCGCCGGCGTTCGGTGCAAGAGTACCGTCAGAAGCCCATGAATTATTCTCACGGCTCTGCCCGTGGGAAAATACGAGAGTTCCGCCAGTAGGCATCGTAAATGCGACTGCTAATTGCGCTCGCCGACGACGACGACGACGACGACGACGACGACGACGACGCGAGCGAGCGAGCGAGCGGGCGGGCCGCCCGTCGCTGAATATCGCATTCTTCCACGACCAGCCCCGTTTATTTCGGATGTTTTTGTCTTAGATCCGAGGTCCTTTGTCGCCGGCGCGTGCTTTTGTTCCCGACGAAACATTTTTAATATCCCTCGGATAGAGCCTGTCGTCGTGTCGTCTCGCGCGCACGCGCGCGATGCTTCCGCGAATTCGCGCGCGAGTCTACAAATCTCGCCGAGAGAGAGAGAGAGAGAGAGAGAGAGAGA